CTCTGCACCCTGCTTGGAGTCGGAACCCTGTCCAGGGTCCTCCACATCCTCCAGAGCCGACTCATAGGGCCCCTCGCTGTCGGAGTCTGGTGGCAACTACAACAGCTCCTGCTGGGCCACAACACATGTCTGTCTGTCTGTCTGTCTGTCTCTCTCACACGGACACTCACACATACCATCTTTGTCTAATAAAACTCATTTTTTTTACCTGCTCAAACATAAATGCAAATTCCACGCTATCTTTTGGTACATGCTCAATGTCTAGGAAGCAGTAGAGTTTGAAATAAAATTTCCATGGTTCATGATCACTGTCTGAAGTGGCACCAATCCTGGAATGACATCAACAACAATTGTTATTACTTGGTAACAGAATTAAAACCTCTTTTACTTCTAGTGAAATCTATATAATCCGATCTGTGGTATTTCAACACGACAGTAAACCAGGATGAGAACTTGGCTTTACTCTCAAATAGCGTGTGCTGTACCTTTTTCAGTCAACCACATTTGATTTGTATTAATAGCAGGAGTTAATTAAATTAATGAAGAAGCAAAAGCTTCCTAATAGGGCCACACCCATTTATTGTTCCTTTAGTCAGCCAAAGTTTGACACTACAGTTGGAAGTTTATGTTTAATACTGGTTAATAACAGTAACAACGATAGTTGGGTTCACATATAAGGTGACATTATTGTTGATTCATTGGGTAAAAATCCAAGATATATAATTGCACAGTATCAGTGGTGGGTTCTGGATCCACCACATGAATGCGTGCAGCATGCGCATATGTCCTTACCTCCTGCGATGCTCCAGCTGATCGGCGGAGGTCGTACAAGCGCCGTATGTTCTGTGCGCGTAAGCGCCGAAGAGCTCAAATACAGGTAAGGAGGGCGGGCGGGTCCTCCGGAGCACGGTACCGTTAACGGTATCCGATGCTCCCGACAGGCACAAGTATGCCTGTACCGGGGCGTACCGCCTGCAACCCTCTACTACACAGTATGTATAAATAGGCTGCTTATAACAGCAAGCCATAATTCTAAACATTTCTGGTTTATCGTTACGTTCAAGCTCAACTTCGTAAAACAATGAAAGCCTTCATATAATATCAGTGTGTATGAAGACAATATTTTCATATACAAGGTTTCCTCCCTTTTGAGCCTTGCAAAAAAAGCTGTGCCATGCTTCAAAAATGCTTTTAACAGAGATGCTTCGTACATAGCATGAGTTTTTTGCTGGTTACTTAAAGAAGCTCAATAGGATTTGGGCTTCTTTGTGAACCTAAAAAAATTGCAGCTAGTTTAAGGAAACTACTTATTAAAGTTATTAAACACAACTCTTAAAATTATGTCACTGTTTTTCAGGTTTGCGTGGAAGCCTGAAAAACGTTGGGATGCTTTACTGAATGTAGAGAAAGGCGGTGTTGAATTAATAACTAAAAGCTCGAGGGAAAAATAAATGAATACTGAAGGCGTTAAAATCTGAAGTATGTCTGAATGGCCCATCAATCTAGCATAAAACGTAGCATTGTTTTTCTAATGCTTGTTGCAATCACTAGTTTTGTTCCAATATTAGTGACATTAGTGGAGATGTAATCAGGAAACAAAAAGTTCAGTTCTATAATGTTCAATATTGATTGGTTGTGCTTCTATACTACTTGTGCATCTATAGAAGCCCCTCCCCTCGACAATCTTGAAATGAGCAAAATCCAAATGAAGAAATTCTTGGACAGTAGAAATGCAGTGGGTCATAAAAGCATCCTTTGTCAGAAGGGAGGGGGATATTATCAACATAAGTAAGAGACATTTGGAAAGCTGTTGGGAGAAATATTAATTCCCTGTTTATTTTCAACAACACACTTACTTTTCAAACTTTGCCAAGACATCAGCCACAACAGTTCTACTTTCAATGGCTTTATCTGTAGTTCCATTGTATTCAAACAAGGCAAACATATTCCTGCTGTCTTCCATCCCCAAACCTCGAATTAATTTTTCAACAACCTAGGAGATAAAATAAAAAAAGACTGGCCTTAATTCTTTTCCATTTTAACTATTTTAATCTTGACATTTTGTATCAGATCCGCAG